GTGTATAATTTTGCTGCAATTTAAACACTAGCTACTTTTTAAGCTGCTGGCGATTATGCTGGCGAAGAAGTTTCTTTGGATTGAGCGATTTCCATTGCATCGCGTAACGCTATTACTCTAGGTTGTGAACTTAGCCTTACTTTTATAATACTTTGAAAATATGGTCGTCGTTGAAAACTTACACAGATTCTTGAGTTTGGTACAAAAATATTTACCAAGCCAAGAACGGTGTATTTATTTTGCCCTAGACACAATTCAGTTTGAGAATTTGGTATAAAAAATGTTTCTTGCCAAATGAACACAGTTGACAGAAGTTTAAGCGCCTACCACACGTCCATTATTCGAACGCAAACGCGAACGTATACATTTCAACATGTTTTGTTAACGTACGCCTATGTTATGTAAAAAAAATTGTCGCTGTTGTTCGTACTCATATATACTATGCAACTTATAGCTGCATTTGTGAAGGCATGATGTTGAATCATTAGTACCCAAACAAACTTTAAGCGTGTAGGGGTGCCTTATTGATGCATATTTCACCACTGGTGTATTAAATATACCAACCAGTGTTACCACTCGACAATATTTTTAGGAACAAAAAATCCTACCAAATCAGTTTCCAAACTACCAATTTTTTTTAATCATCAGATATTGATATTTTATTTCGTTCCTGATTTTACTTCATGCAAAAGTATGAATCTTTGATATTAATTAAATTTATATCAATTATTTTATGTCTAAAATGTAAAAAAAAATACAATCAATATAAACATTTTATATTTGGTAACAAAAAAAATGTATTACTGTGCTCGCGCAATTTTATTTTTACTTATCTGTTTTCATTTAACCATGATGCAATAAAATTACGGAATGTCAGCAACATAATCTTAATATTTCGTTACGAGTTTTAAGCCATTTTAGCACGCTTTCAGTACGCTTTTCTACTTTCACATCACCATTGTATTACCGCCATTCAAAAAAATTTATTTAAAATTTTTACAAATGTTCTAATAAACGAATACTATGCAACAACAGCTCAATGCATTTTTGACATTTCGAATAGGATTTATTTTCTATTATAATTTCAAAACTTTGATAGGATTGCAAAACATCTTTAAAATTTGGAATCGGAAATCCAAATCGATGAGAAATCAATTTCGAACGAAACCAGAACAGCCCTGAAATGAAACTACCAATTTATCAAAACGGTAACACTGATAGCAGCTCTACTTGGTGTATGTATAATAAGCTCATATTGAAACAGGCAGCGTATTATGTGCACACACACTAGCTTTGTTTCTTTACTTTCCTAGCAGATCTTTATCAGGAAGAAGAATGGGAAGAATTACAGAATTACGCTCACAGCGAGTGAAATATAGAAAAAGTCAAGAAACGCAAACTAGCAGAAACTAGCTAGTAAACACCTGACCGATGCTTTTGACAACTGAACATATGTATTTGCTGCGAATTTTTAATCGCATTTTATGTTTAAAAATTGTTCACAAATACTCAGGTTTTGCCACACTTTATCAAATTTAATAAATCGCCCATTTTTATCAAAAAATACAAAAATATGTAAAAGAAGCAAATCAAAGTAGCTGTGCCTAATCTCTCTAATGTTGGAGCAACAGCTGAATTTTTCACCGCATAACGTGAAAATTATGTGTTTCTTGTAATTTGCTTTTGTAATTTTTTACTTATATTCGGCTAACACTACCTTGTGTAAATGCGCCTATCTGTAAAGAAACAAAGCTACCTTGTGGTGTATTCAATACCCATTTTTTGGTCCCCTGTCAATTGCTCTCTGAATTTGTGATGTGCTGAGTCGCTACTTTTAAGTATTGATCGATACACGGTACCGATTTAAAAAGTATCAAATACTTTCGATGCTCGGTACCGAAATCTTGGAATTTCTAATAAAAGCGCGCAACAGCCAAAAATATGAGTTATATGTACACATACATATAGTGTCAGCTATTAAAAATAAATAATATTGCCACCAGAATTATTGCAATTGGAAAGACGGTTGCGATAAGTAAGAGAAGGCGAGAGTGTGTTTTGCGACATCAGTATCAGGGCGAATTTAATAAGGTGGTGTTACCGGCGTATCTGAGTTGTTCGCCGTGGAGGACATTACATCAAAATTACGTGTTTGTTGTAGTTCATACTAATGACAGTATGAATATCTGCGTATAATTTGTTAGTGTAATTTTTTACTTATATACGGCTAACACCACCTTATTAAATTCGCCTTGATCATTATTGTGCAGATTTAATTGCCTGCCTTGTTCGACGCACACATTATACTTTGCTTCACTTAACTACATACATACAAACACATTGCTCATCTCTTGAGAAAGGAACGTCTTATTTGTACATTTTGGGTTTTTAGGCGATGTCTTATAAAATATCAATAATTTTTACCCCCAAAAGTAGCTTATGTCGAGATAGGTCTTTTTCCCTTTAAAGCCCCATTTCATTGGACTCCCAAAAAATATTTTAACGTTTAACTAGCCAAAGATGTAGTTCAAGATGCCCCTATAATAGAATCTTAATTAAAATATAAAACAATTTCAAAGTATTGGGTACCGAAATTTTTTTCAAGTATTGGGTACCGAGAATTCAGCACATCACTACTCAGAATGTCGCCTGAATAATTTTAATGACATTTGTTAACGTGGAGGGAGCTATTTGTGAACCAAATGAAAAAAGTGGCGCATTTTAGGAGCTGGTGTAGTTTTCGTACTAATCTCAATGAATAAATAGTACCAAAATGTTAAAGGTACAATTTTGATTTGAAAGAAATACTGGTGGAATAACAAATACACCAAAACATTCTTTTTTATTCAATCTAATCAGATTTGTACCAAAATCCATAAATTTACACCAATTTATACACCAGTGTGCTACTTGAGCCGTTCGTTGGAACTGTCATTCGATTAATATTTGACGAACGTACGCGCGCAAAATTTGATACAATTTTTTGAAAAATGTAAGTAATTATAAAATTTGTGCAAACATATACAAGTTTATAGCTATTTTTCTTATTTTAGGACCAACTACAATAACTTAAACTCTACGCAGATGGAACTCATGGCGGAGTTCATGGCCGAACACCCTGACTTGGCAAAGAATTTACTCCTAAACTGCTCGCAGGGAAAAGCAACGGCCAACCGTTGGTGGGAAAACCTCACCAAACAATTACATGTGGTGGACCTTTTCAGGAGTCNCTTAAACTCTACGCAGATGGAACTCATGGCGGAGTTCATGGCCGAACACCCTGACTTGGCAAAGAATTTACTCCTAAACTGCTCGCAGGGAAAAGCAACGGCCAACCGTTGGTGGGAAAACCTCACCAAACAATTACATGTGGTGGACCTTTTCAGGAGTCATGGGCTGCACCTCCATATTGACAATTTATGGCAAGAATCTTGCAAGTGTGGTCACAAATCTGGCAAACGGAATATTAGCAATAAAATGTTAAAATGAAAGAAAAGAAACTTACTAGCATAACGTTAAGACTATGGTTGAAGTACATGTGCTCGTCTCTAATTGGCTTTTGTAATCCAATCTGTGTTCCGTCTACGCATCCAACCACTAAAAGGAAAAACATTGGATTCACTACCATTTCATTAGAACGCCGCTTCCTACCTCCAGGTATTGAATATTTTTGCGCAAACCACTCCTTACATCTTGCAGATTCGTTGGGCTGGTTACTTAGATGCATGCGCTTAGTGTAAGTACTTATTTTTTAAATGTGCGAAGTCGAAACGACGAAGGATGAACTTTGTGTATGTTTTACGTTCATGTTTTCAAAGTAATTTTCTTAAGTTTTTTTTTATTTGTTTATATATTTTTTTGTGCAGTTATAACACACGATGAATGCAACCAAAAGTTATATCGACGAAAAAAAAATTGCGCAATTTGGCCCCCTTCTAAGCGATGCTTAACAAATCATCCTGTGCAAAATGTCAAAAAAGTCTCGGTGGAGAGCATAAAATAAAACTTTGCGCCTCTTGCACAAAATGAGAACTGTCGTATCTGAAAATGTTTTCCTTTTTTAGTTCTTAGTATTATTTTTAAGAAAAAAAGACTTTAAATGAATTATATGTACTTTAAGTTATTTATTTTTTATATTTTCTAATTAATGTTTTGTACAAAAAGCCAAATGAATCAGAGCTGTGAAATCTTGAATTACAATCAAAAGGCTAAAGAAAAAATACTTAATATTGTTTTATTTTAAAAAAAATATTAACAAAATAATGTGAAAATAATAATTTTGAGCATTTTGATACACAGGTTAATTTAATAACGCCTTTTAGAAATGCCGTCGTCGAAACGATGAAGGATGACCTTTGCGTTACAAAAATAACGATGACCTTCCAGGGTTAATTTGCACCAATTTACATATGTACATATGTGTAAGCACACTATTTAGTTTGCTCGATTTGTAAACAAAGCTTATCAGCAGTGAAAAATATACTATAGTGAACAACGAGCACTTATTTCTGATAGGGAAAGTAATTGCATTTTTACAAGATTAACTTAAAAATCAACCATGCAACTCTCACCCTCACGTTTATTTGAGGGCAGAAAAGGCAGCACTTTCGCCGGATCAGAGCGCAACCTGCTGAGAAAAGAACACGACGCCTTGTGAAACGGCTGAGAAAAGAACATGAAAATGTGACAGCGCTAACACAAGGCAGAATAAGTGCAGCCTTTTTTTGAGAAAAGAAAACGCTATTACAGGCCAAGTGAATAATTCAGCTTTATTAAGCTCTATAAATAAATTGTGATGGAGTAGTATATTTTCTGTTTCATTCTCATATAAATAACGCAACATTTTCTCAGGTTTCAGGGCAACCCAAAGCAAGAGTTCCCATATAAAAGGGCAGAACTTTTTTTGAGAAAAGAAAACGCTATAAATCATATAAATGAAAAAAATTAATAAATATTCATGGTTGAACTGGAACCGTAATTGATCTTAATAATAAACGGCTTGTTCGAGTTGCAATCACAACCGCCGTGTTGCGCGAATTATTAAAGTATCGTGTTCTGTGTGAATTTCTAGCAATGTATTATCAGTTGGGCAGTTGCAACAATGTTGCCATTTTTCATCATTACGACAGGCCCAAAGTAATAATTAGTAATAATTAGATCAGCAGAGAGGGGTAGCGCCATCCAAAGAGCGCGCGGAGTGTTCCGATCGCTCACTGAGTGCCGCTCCTCTCCCTGGCGATCTAACTATTGTGAAAGTTAAGTGATGGCATACCACGATCCAGATCACGATCTATCATTCTTGATGGCATACCTTCCATGAGATTTTCGTAGAAATCTTCCAGAAATTCTGTCTTGCGTGCTGAGCTTCTGTTAAGTGATCAGACGATCTCTACAGACATAAGACATTGTGCTTCCACCAAGAAAACTGTTTCTGTATTACTTACATAGCTTTTTCTAATTCAAAAGGACTACTACACGCATCCCTTAGGCCGAGGCCACGAAATTAGCGGCAAAGCGCCGGGGCGACTTAAAATTAAAACATGTGTGGCCCTATTTTGTATGGCGACTGATAGCCGATGGCCATCCATATACATATGTACTAAAATTCGCCTTACGTATGGCAACTGGCAACTGGCTACTGACTGTCGACTACTGAGTCTAGTCGCGCAATTTTTTATTTATAGTTTTATTACGACGATATTGTTATTTGTTTACATAAATTGTTAAACCCATTGGAGCAAAGTTGCCAATTATCTACTTCGAAATGTACATGTCAAAAAAGTAAATTCGGATGTGTCTGCGTTTTTTCTGTTTACTGAGATAATGCTATTGCAGTGGCCATGCCTGCGGAATTTTTGAATGGATGGGCGGCGGCGCTCAGGAATAAAAGCCGCTCATTGCGTGGCCTCGGCCTTAGAGTGTTCCTTTGAATTTTTTAAGCTATTTTGCTAAATTTCTCCTAAAAACATAATCGCACAGGTAAAGGAATACCTTATAACAAACATCTTGTTGAAAAAAATTGAAAACACGCTATAGCCATTTAAAATCTTACTTAAAATCTTTCATTTAATTCACAACAGCTTAAAACTGATTAGAATATAGAAAGAATCAGCCAAATTAGTGCCAACGACCTTTTTTTAATTTATACTGTTCAAATCGAAACAATAATAGATTCATTTATTTGTATTTTAAGATCTCTTCTGCTTACATAACTAACTACATAGTTAAAATTAAAGAATCTATATGAGCTCCCAGTCACTTGAATAGCACACCCTTTTGATCCTCAGTATGGACAGCTTTCCTTTTGTTTGTTTGATATTCAATAGTTCTTTTATAAATATTGATTTTAAAATTCTCTACAAACTAAAAAAAATATGGCAACAAAGCGTATTCTACCAATAAATCCGATTTTAAAAATTTATACAAATTAAAAAAGAAATGCCCTGTAGTGTATCAGTTAATAATGTTTTTCGATAAATTTCGGGTATGCAGTGCAAGCTTCAAGTAGCTACAAAATACCATTTATTTATTTATTTTTTTTTTTTTTGTTGACGGTGATACGCATTTTTTCCAGGTAAAAATCATTCTGTCGAGCAGACTTTGTATGGAAGAAAATGCATGACACTGTCATTACACTGTTCTTATACTAGAATTGAATGGACTATAAACTGTATACCCGAACTTTTTCTAAACAAAATATTATTAACTTATACACTGCAGGTCATTTAAAAAGCATGACATTTTATTTTTAGTTTGTATAAAATTTTAAAATCGGATTTATAGGTAGAATAAGCTACATTTTTTTTTTTAATGTATGAAAATTAAATAAACTAAAGTAAAAATGTACATGCTGAAAATTAAAAGGGTTTGCTATTCAAATTACTGTCAGTGTATTTCGGCTCGAGATAAAAATAATTGAATAGAAATGGTATTTCATTATTTGTACTACACATTAACAAAGCAAAAAGAAAAAAACAAAAAATGGGTACCAAATCTTATCACAAATCATAAACTAAAAGTACATAGAATATAAGTAATATTCCTCGAAAAGTTATATATTTATGTACATATATTTGTAGTATACTAAACATATAAAATATAATATAACTTAGACATTTAAAGCTTTCTACAAAGTGCTTAAATCGGCACAAGTCTGATTTGATCTTATAACTAAGTTCTAAACTAACGTATTATTAAGGTTAATAAGCAATAAATTCTTCAGCGTATCTTTAGATAGACTCTGTTGTCTATTTTCTGAAATCATTGAGAGGGCTTTAAGTGCCCTACCAGCCGAGTATTGTGTGGTTGGAATTGACAAAACAGCATCGACCAATTTTCCCAACTCCAAATCTTTGTATTTTTTGCTACGCCAGTACTCCAGAATGTTTGCTTCAAACGGCAATCGTTCGGCAACGCAAAAACTCGTCAGTTTTTCTTCCATTGTTATATCGGACTTATAACTTTTTTCGATTAATAAACTCATTTTCTGTTCCAATTTTAAATATGGGCCTGATGAATCAGTAGTCATTTGTTGAGGTACTACGTAAGCGTTGCTCTTATCATCAACAACGGTGGTGGTAAAACTTTCAATAGTGCCATAAGTTTTTAATAGATGTTTCTGAAATGAAAAAGAAGAAGAAATAAATTTAAGTTACGTTGTTAAGAGGACTTTTTTTTAAAATACTGTTAAATTTTTATATATATGTATAATGTATGATAAAAAATTCTGGAAATACTTTATATGAAAAAAACGCGGAGGGCCGTCAGCAAAAAATTCTCAAAATTCAACGCAAACTTTTAGACATTTTTTCCTTTATTAACAGTATAAATATAAAACATATCGTCGTTTAAAGTACAAAACTGCGTAGCTGACATTCTGCAAAATAGGATAGCTAACATTTACTGCCAAAAATTGGATTTGTTCACACAAGCTCTTGGCTCAATCCTTACCCATTCGTCCTGAAATTTCTAGCCAGAAATGCGATTGCTCTAGAAAATACTATACATAATTCACATACGCGGTTTTGCATTTAGTTATATATGTGTTGTACATCTGTGGTCATAAGAAATAATCACCTAAGTCGAAAAACCTGAATTCGAGAAAAATCACTTTTAAGATTTGGATTGTAATGTTAACCAAAATATTTTAATCTATAACTTTTTAAATAGCCTAGCTAACGAGATGGGACTTTCACATACACATGGAATAGTAGTT